TCTAGACATTTCCTTTTTGTCGAATGGTTATATTCAGTATCGTATGCAAGGTGAACAGAAGCACAAAAGACGTTACAATCAGTTTTCCATGATAAATCACTAACTCCTAATAAGATGAGCAACAAAATCAAGAAATCGAATACCATAGCTGTATGTTATCTACTTGATGTTGAATAGTATTGTAATCGAAGAGGTAATTTTCCTTCTGTCTCAAACTCATCAACTAGTTATCATCAATCAAATGATAATCTGATAAAACTTGACACAACATGTAAGCATATTTTTGACGAGCCTACACGGTAACAGGTGATGATCATTTCACTCGAGTATCATGATCAATGCGAAACTACAAGTGTTAATAATCCAATCTAGATCAGTTTAGATTCTGTGAGGTGAGGTGAGGTGAGGTGAGGTGAGGTGAGGTGAGGTGAATGGATATCAATCACTTCTTATTTGTGTACTACTTATCACCTCCTGCAACAGTTATGAAAGGAGATTGACAACTGAAACCTTACTCATGTTTTGATTTGAATGATCAGCCTGTCTAATTTTCCTACGGTGAGTTCCACATTCATCTGGAATAGTATGTTCAGTATGAGATAACCGATTGAGTAATGGGCATTGAACGTTTTGATTAATTCTGCTACTGGTTTCCCTCTTTGTTAGCTGGTTTCATACTCTCTAAGCTGGATAGTTTATGCAGACAGCTTCCATTTTCGAATTCACTATGATAATGATATATCATGAGTTCACCTGTTGACAACTTCCAATTACTTACTTCTTTTCAATCTTTATAATATTATGGATGATTTTGTTTGTTGATGCTTACACGTTATGCACAGGAGATGGCTACCGTTTCCAACTGGCCTAGTGGGTAACACTTTGTGTAGTTTGAAGTGGTGGGTACTGTGTTCGAGTCCCAACTGTGACAACATCACTCACTGACTGGTATATAGGTACATCCAACTAACTAGTCCAAAATGATAAGAAGCGTGCATCATCGATCCCACCGTTAGCCACCAAATAAATTGCCAACATATATGACTTCATCGGTGATAACAACGGAGACTTTATGATGAATGCTTTCAGTGTAGAGAACACAGTCACATCGAATCCAACCTGTGTTCTTCCTTCCCTCCTTCCTTAACCACATCAACACAAGTAATTCGAAAATATTATGTCACTAATTAAATATAATCACTCGAAGATACTTATTCATTCCCTAACAGCTCGATATAATTTACTTATGTTGCTAATATGAACATTTTCCTCGAAATGTAGCTTGACATATAGGTTGGATAGAATCTGATGACTGCTTAGTGTACGATATCTAGTCGAACACGAGTCACTCAGAACATCATCATTAAATTTTTTAGGCTCGAGTGTGTCAGAGAAGAGGAGTTTCTTCAAGGTTGCAGATGAATGTCGACAAAATGAAATGTAATGAATGACAGGGGTTCCTTCAAACTAAGTCTATATATCATCTAATGGTAGTTGATGAATATCTTGGTAAATTGTATTCACCCACTGTCAGTTAGTTCGACATCAACATCATTCCTCCTCATCCACATGAGTATAAACATATGTTTAAAGTAACAAACATAATGGGATTTAATGCAAAAATTCCCATTTAGATATTTAATAAAACAAACAGTGTGAGCGAAGAAATATTTCTTCAATCTGGTTAAGAGCATGTCGTTTAAGTATTCTTCCGTTTGGTCGAACTCCGTTACGACGTAGAGATTTTCAATAGGTTTTAGGATAGCGGTTGGTTTGAATACACTCATAGATAAAGTCCATCGAAGTCTTCGGTTTACCGAGCCTTGCACCGTACTTCAGATACTCATTGAGGATCTTTAACGCAATCCGATGCTCAGAAGATTTCAGGAAGGTGGATGAAACTATAAAAAGAAGTGTGTATCGGACACCAACGTCAACAGGTCAATACACCCACTTCTTGAGTTTCGTCCCCTTGCAATATAAACGAAATCTCCTTAAATGTTTGGTCCATCGGGCGAGACTCATCTGTTCAGATGATACTTTTACGAAGAACTTCAAATTATCCACGATCTACTCAGTAGTAATGGATATCCAGAAACGTTCCTGGCTAAAAATATGAGCACATCCAATATGAAAACCAGAATGCCTACAGTCTCCAAGAAACCATTGTTCCTAAGACTACAATTTCGAGGTGACATCATCAGCGAAATTGTGACACAACGCTTAAGAAATGCCATAAGAAGATTATTTAATGCCGGCAAGTTATGTTGTGTTTTCTACAGCCGGCCGATGATGACCACACGAACTAAAGACAGACTCCCTGACTTCTCCTCTTCTATGTGCATTTACCAGTTCAACTGCTCCTGTGGAGCTAGTTACATTGGACGTACAGTTAGGCAAGTCCGTCGTCGAATCGCCGAGCATCATCCTTCATGGCTAAGTAAGGGGGGAACCAGATTGACACGAAGCTCAATACTCTCTCATCTGATTGACATCGGCCACCGAGTTAACATTCATAATGCCTTTAAAGTTATTTATCACATTCCTTCTCATCTCACCCATCCTCTACCAGTTCGTCTTTTACATGCAACAGAAGCCATAGGAATCCACCTACACAAGCCAAGTCTGTGTGTTCAGAAGAGATTCGTACAGTCTCTTTCCTTGCCTTGGCCATCTGTATAGCTCATTTATTACGACAAGACTCTTCATTTCATCCACCACACAATTCACTTTAACTAATGTTTTAATAGCTCCATTATTATTATTATTATTGTTACAGACTTAACCATCTTTCTCTTCCCCTACTGTCTCTAATTACCGTCAACAATTTACCATTTTACGTAACAGTTCATTTTTGCTCTTTAGTTATCATTATGGAACAGGCAGGCTTCAGGAAGTACAAATCATGTGCAGACCAAATTGAATCGCCACAGTACGCATCATCATAGAACAGAGCATAGAATGGCAGTCAGCTCTCTACCTCAACTTCATCGACTTTGAGAAGGCCTTTGACAGCGTCGACCGAGAAGTAATTTGGAAACTGCTTCACTACTACGGAGTACCGGAAATCTTTATCCGCCTCATTCAACAACTATATGAAGACGGTACATGCCGGACAAGTAATTCACAATGGGAAGATCAGTGATGCCTTTGAAGTGAAGTGAAGACAGGAGTAGGAGTGAAACAAGGTTGCCTACTATCCCCCATCATATTCCTGATTGTGGTTGACTGGATCATGCAGCAAACAGTGGGGAGGTGTGAGAAGAGGGGGATACCCTGGCTGGACTACGGAAAAGAACCTAGAAGACTTGGATTTCGCCAACGATGACTTGTGCCTGATGTCACATAAACTTGAAGATCTACAGGCAAAATTAACAAGTTGACAGAAGAGGCAGCGAAAACGAGACACTGTTCAAGTGAATATAGAGAAGACAGAGGTGATGAAGATACAGCACCACCACCACTAACAAATTCAAGTCACCATGAACGGGAGAAACTTAAAAAAAGTAACCTCCTTCACCTGTCTAGGCAGGCAGCACTGTTTCAACTACAGGCGACACAGGCACAGACGAGGATGTCAAAGTGAGAATCGGAAAAGACAGCAAGACAGGCATTCATTAGCCTGAAACCAGTGTGGAGATCTTCTGCACTCAGCATACATCGTGAACAACATCCGGATTTTCAACACCAAAGTCAGTCAAGTCAGTGCTTCTGTATGGTTCAGAGACTTGGCACGTTATGAAAGAGATTTCCAATAAACTACAGAAATTCATCAACAACTCCCTACACTGGCTCGCTACTGAAGATCAGATAGATTGCCAGAAAGAATAAGCAACAAGGAACTCTGGGAACGAACCAACCAAGAACCTATCACCCAACAAATACTTAGTGGAAGGAAGTGGAGATGGGTTGGGCATGCACTGAGAAGGCCGAGTGGGGACATCACGCGTCAGGCCAGTCACTCGAGTGGAATCCCCATGGGAAGCGACGAGTTTGGCGTCCGTGGTGAGGGTGACATGGAGGAGATGGTGTGTGCGAGGAGGAAATGAGAGGTTGTGGGCTGTCGTGGATCCAGGTCCAAAAGATGTCAGAGAACAGAGGTCATTGGAGACGTGCTAGTGAAGCCCTATGTCCCACTAGGAACCCAAGGGACTAATAATAATAATAATAATAATAATAATAATAATAATAATAATAATATATTAATGTAGAGCTATTGATGAGGAACTAATTGAAAAGAAATATTTCTTTGCTCACATTGTTTGTTTTCATAATGGGATGTCATACAATCGTTTATGGCTTATCATGTTGGTGTTGAGTTAAGGCACAGATATCATCCTCCGCATTATGATAATACTGAGTGAGTGATGTCCCTTGTCAACTGCTTACTCAAATGATATTTTACAATAAGTCTAGAAGAATATTTCTCTTCTACTTTATCCTAATTAAATCTAAATTTATGACAGTTTCTTTTGTTCAATGAATATTTGCAGCACAGAATCACTGAAATGCTTTACTAATTGAAGATTTTCAGATGGTTTCCACGCATACACCAAATAAAGCTGGATAGTTTTTTGTAACAAATGATGAGATACATGAAGTCAATTAAAGCATCATTTATAATGTGATCAGTGGTTAGTGTGTTTTTCAGTGATTCAACAGAACATCCTATATCAACGTTTCATGCTTTCCATCTGAAATGAACAAGACATGCTCACCAACTCGATAGAGTTGGTGACACGCGGAGGATTTGAACTGACGTCATCTAGCACTGGTCACTACCCATCAACCAATCAACATACTTCTATGCTCAAAGATATCTAGTGATTGAGTGAATTGTTTATTCACTTTCTTCACAATCATCACGATTAAAACCCCAATCAAAATAGATTAGTTCAGTTTACCGATCAAGGAATGACACTCTACAGTATAAAAATGATTCAATATTGTGTTATAGAGACAGTTGAGAAAGAGAAAAGCACACTACATCACCTCTGCCTATGGAACAAAGCGTGGTCAAAGCACCTGGATCCGATCAACTAAAACGTAGTGAATCATCGAGAAGAATATTGATTCCAGTGGGTGCGGGTACAGACTCTAGACAAGCATTAATCTGGTATGGTGACAATATCAAACATCATGGTGATTTGATCATCTTTGTGCACATCATTGATCCTGTATTCCCAACACATTTGTCTGCACTTTCAATTGAACATGAGTCAATGCTGTTTGTATCATCATTTTGCATACCTGATGGGGAATTACGTACTGCAAAATCTATATGTCAACAATTGGTACGTGAAGCGAGTAAACTCGGAGTTAATTCTGAGGCATTGATTCAAATCGATACAAAACCTGGTCCAGCTTTAGTAAAGTTGATATCAGAGAAGAAGATTGATATTGTTGTTATGCCTAATCGTGGTTTAGGATTCTGGCGATGCAATTTCATTGGTAGTGTCAGTTCATATATACTACATCATTCAAATATTCCAGTATCAATTGTCCCATCATCGTACAATCATTCATGATTGTTGAGCCAAGTAGGATACAACAATCTCTGAATACGGTCCACCACCGATGAGGAATCAAGTTGCCTTGTGAATATGATGAAAAGTGAAGCGAATTTCCTGATCAATATGTCAACAATTATTGATCAGTATAAACATTTTTATTTCAGATTTTCCCTTTGAAACAAGACCAACTTACTTGTCGTATTCATTTAGTTGTTGACTGATTTTCATTTCATGTTTTCTTCTCAATCATTTTATTACTTTACAATAAAATGTGTTCCTTCAAAGTTGGATATTTTCTTATTCCTTTCATGTAACTGTTTGTAAGATTGTTAGAGTTTTGTCAGAGTAAGGGAATGCCGGATGAAACGTAGTAATTTGAAATGATTGCAGAAGGATGTGATGATTAGTCTCTCTGGTAACCAGACGTTGACTATGTAAACTGTAGACGAGGCTTTTCCATCAGTATAAAACGCATATATCATACAGTTAAAGGTTTCTTAGAGAGACTTAACTCCAAATGCCATTGCAGAAACCGCTGAAATAACCAAATAAGTTTTGCTATATCGACTGGCAAGGTAATTTTGAATAAAATATAGAGAAATGTATTTGGCTAATTCAGCAGTTGTTTAGTATGACCTTGAAAGTCATTCATTCTGTTTGTTGATAATTCTTTTGAACAAGGTGCACAGATCAATCAGTGGACTGAAAACAAGGTGATCTTGTATTATTCTACATGCTTACAGACTCGTGATAATCAGGTAGGCGACTTAGTCATCAGACTGAGATAGTAACTAGTGGTATGAAAATTCTTCTAGTGCTCGGTGGTAACAGACGATTGACAGGCATCCCTGCACTTTTGTTTCCAGCTTACTGATACCAATTTACAACTCCTTGAAGCAACCTCCAGTGGACTAGTGACTGCATAGAGATTTAATTATGCAGTAGTCTATTCTATCATTGAAAAGGCTGAAAACTGGATTTTGTTCAATCGAACTTCCATCAAACATTGGCAGTTGTGTAGTTTCAGATCAACATGACACAGCATAAGGTGATGAAATAATCCATGTTGACTAACTAGTGGTTACTTGTGATCCAAGATTGTGGAATATGTGTCTTTTGTATAGTATGTTAAGGGGGATAGAATTTAAAAAGAGGAGATCTTGAGTTTTGTACTCTCTTAGGAAGTGAAATGCAAGCAGAGAAGTGCGGAGAATGCACGTGGTTGAGTACAGCAGAGAACGTATCATTCTCATAGTGACCTGCTGAAGCATATGCAAAATGAGGCCGACATGGTTTGGTTGGTTAGTAGGTGGAGGTTTCTTATTGAAATTCACCCTCTGAACAACTAACTTTATTGTTAACCGCTTTCACTGTGATCAACAGAGATGTCTACTCTAGTTCGTTGAAAGATATTAAGAGTCTGTTGATAAGATTAGATAGATTGATAGGTTAGATTACTACAGAGCAAGCAATTTTATGTTGTCTAGTTCTGTGTGCTGACCAAATTCCATCAATCGGTCAGTATGCAGTGCCCTCAGCATGTTAGGACAAAGTGAATATCCAAAGCACTTTCATAGATGTTGGTTATTTGGAGGCAAGTGGTTTCAATTGCAGTCGTTTCCGTCATATGCAATCCATGTCCCACAGGCAATTTAAAATCACGCTCGAATTAAACGAGGTAGTTAGTGCTTTGGTTTTATTCATTACGCATATTTTGCATTGTGTACAACGATCCAACACTTAGATGTTTCTATCGAAGTGAAGTACACCAAGTAATCATGTTCACGACCTCACAACAGACAGTCAGCTACACTCATAATGTGACAAGACTGATGATACTACATAGCAGCCTTCATATGGTTTGTCAGAGCTGTATATGAATCCGTCGTTCACTGGATATTTCTTCACCACCCACTTCATTCATAAGAAACTTGTTGTACTCAACTTTTGGTGAACAGATGTTAATCTGAATTTATTGATGAAACTTTCAGGTTACAGTTTCACTTCACACCTGTACAACAGCAGTAATGATGAGTTTTCAATGGAATTATTTATTTCGGAAATTTTCTTCAGAAGTTTTTAAAGTAATGAAATGTCATGCAATTATTTTTTCTCACTTGTCATACTAATATTCGCTTACTTCAAAAGCATTCAAGTTTCACTTGTTTCAATTAACTTTACTACTGTGAACTGTGGTAACTAGAAGTTATGCAGTGCTGTACAGTATTCTTCACTAATGTGTCTACGTGTTGATTTCATTGAACTACTATGATCTGTCATGATAGCTATTTGTTAGCTACTAAACCTCAGTGTTTCTACTAAACACAAATTCATTTACAGTATATATTCACACAAAACAATTAATAGAACCGGGTCAGCACTCAGGACTGGACAGTTCTGCAGTGACTAATCAGTGCATGTTATCCAGACCTACAGGAAGGATGACTGCTATATGAGGGGATGTGAGTGTTGACAGAGTTATGAGGGAAGTTAACACTTCCCATTTGTTTGCATTGTAGAAGGCTATGTATTCTCAAGGTACTTAAATGACATGGGTTAGTAACAGTTGTGCGTGACCGCACAACCCTAGCGACATCTGATTGACGGCGGTCACATAGGGGATTTTGGAAAATTCAAGATTTCTGTTTATTTCTTTTACACCCATCCACGAGTCCATACAACCGTCACTGATGAACCGTAGAGTGGAGGAAAGAGTATTCGTTTTAGCACTGAACGTTTCTAACCCAACCCTTCTCCACCTAGGAGGGGAGTATCAGAACGCACTGCTGGTCATCCATGTGAAACACCTTTCTGATTTCACACTATATCCAGATAGCAGTACAACGTCATCCTCAGATCAGCATTGCAGCGTAGCAATTAACACTGTAACAGTAAGTGCTTTCTGTCTTACCACTATCCAACTTCATCTTTCTCCTATGCTAGTAGGACTTCGACGTAACAAGCATTCCAGTCAGTGTAACTCGTTACAGCATTGTCATATAGAAGTATGACTACAGTATCAATGTAACAGCTGTCTTTTGAGGTGTACTATTTAGCAGGTCCACCTTCGTATTTCTGACAATCATCCATCATAGTTGAACAAGGGTCAAGCAAGACTGGGATAACAACTCTCATATTTGGACATCGGATGGATATTGGACGTCGAATCAATATAAACATGTCATGTAAACTTGTTTATCATATTACTTCTAATCTGTTCCATGCATAAAGCGATAGCTGTTGGGAGTCTTTACCGACGAGTCGAATTCGTCTCCTCAAAAGAAGTCCATCTAGTCTTTGTTCTTACTGTAGATGGTCATAAGATCTGACTTCGCATTCATAAGCCATGTAAAAATGACCCTTCTCTCTCTGTATCACAATGTGCCCAACTTCTCTGGCTTATACTATTATTAAGTGACTAGTATGAACAACGGACAGACTGACATAACTAACTACCCTTCTCATTCCTTGGTATTACTATTATTATTATCATTATTACTACTAAGCAACTTACGAACACAGTAACCTCGCCTAGTTAAGTGGTTCACTAGTTACTAGGCAGTCCTAAGCCCGTGTAAAGAGGGAAGGTTGAGCATAGGGCTAGCAACCCCACCCCGGGAAACCGATCCAACCACTACACAAACTTCAAAATCCAGACAAAATAGAGAAAATAAAAACAAACTTATTCTTCTCTGGAATTGGAAAGTCTTCGAGAAGCCAATTGGACGATGTGTCTTATCTCGATGAAGGTGAAAGTAAACAAGGTGACATGGAATCTCCACACAATGTTTGCAGCTGGTTAGCAAGGCTGTCAGATTGTGAAGCAGATGAAAATATGTAGTATAGAAGTGCTAGGAATCTGCGAGGAATCTGCAGATGGAATGGAGGTGAACTCTCCAAACTGTCAACTGGAGACCAGTCAATAATCTACTTCGATATTGTCAACCAGACGACAATCACCAGCACACTGAGTTTTCGAGTGGCTATCATGATGTCCTCTACCAACAACATCGAAGGCAAGGCTCTCTCTCTCACTCAGTGGGAACCAATCTCCTCCACCAGGATCAGGATCGTGACAACAAGATGGATTCAAGTCAAGAGGAGGGAGAGTCACAATTATACAATGCTACGCTACGCTACGCTATGCACCTACAAACAATGCGGATCAAGAGGAGAAGGGGGAGAAGGAGGAGAAGGAGGAATTCTACAGACAATTGCAATCAACACTGGACAACACCCTAACCCTAACCAGATGGTGACATCAAAATTCATTCTAATGGGAGACATTAGTGCCAAACTCGGAGCGGAAAACACAGGAAGAGAACTCATCACGGAACGAGAAGCACTCAGTGGAATGATGAGGGAGAATGGAGAACAGTTTGCAGACTTCTGAGCATTCAACGACTTGGTGATTGGAGGCAGGGGTGTGTACAAACACAAGGATATTCACAAAGCGACATGCACTTGACCTCATGAGATGGAGACACTACACTAGAAGTCAGATCGACTTGATATCACTGTGAAGAAAGTGGAGAAGCAGCTCACTGGACACAAGATCAGATGAAGAAGGGGAGCAGATGTAGGTGGTTCACACCACTCACTATCTGGTGCAAGGAACTCAACTTCAAAATCAAGTAGAAAGCCTTCAGAGAAGAAGTGGTGATAGAGCACAGTTGAAGTTGAACATCGAGGACAGAAACTGAGGCATGAAACCATAAAGGACATCTTCACTTCGTCAGCTATCGGGACAGAATGGGAGATATTGAGCAACATCCCTGAAGAAAGGTGCGTGGAACAACACTGGAAGTCTTTGAAAGCTATGTGTAAAGAAACCTGCATAACCGTACTAAAAAGGAGGAGGAAAGCAGATAAGGAATGGATCTCGACGGACTCATGGAGGCTGATTGAGGAGGGAGAGGAGGATGGTGAGGCAGAAGATAAACCAGTGTAAGGATGAACAACGAGAAGAGGAAGTGAGTACAACGTATGAAACACTACATTGGACAAAGAAGTTA